ACTTTATTCTTAGCATTTCTATAACCACTTTTTTACCTTCTTGCTTATTTTTATATTTCCCCTTATTCAATGTAAATCAGTTCCTTGTATTATCATTACAAATGCTACAAACGTTTTCAGATGTTTACAATATTCTTTCATATATAATATAAATTTGCTCCAGTCCTTTTGAAACAGTTTGTCGTGCTGATTCCGGATCTTCCAGACTTTTCAAGCTGGTGACACACTTTTTGGACATGCCTCATTTCATGACACAGCAATTCAGTTCCGCATCATTTCGTGACTCAGTAATTCAGTTTTACCAGCAAACCGGAAGTTAAACTAACCCTTTTCCAGCCCCAGGAGGAGCACGGGGAGCATTCGTGCGACACACCTACACACTGCAGCCAACGCACTAATGTGTCACAACGCACAGTTTGGAAAGTTCTGTTCTAAGGGTATTAGAGTGGGCTCTGTAAATAAAAAAATTGAAAATCATAAGTTCCCCTAATACGTTCTGCTACCTTTAATGCCCTCTCAACTTTCTGGAGGCACCTCTCATGCACGGATGATCAGAGGAGGAGGAGATGAGTAATGTTCCCACAAATGTGTAGGACATTATTATATAATACTCCAGAGCAAAGCTTTTTAATTTTTTTTAAAAAATGATTAATATTTTTTTCTAGCATTAACAAAATCAAAAACAAATAACATCATAAAAACCAAACTACAACACCATAGTAGCTGCCACTTTAGGTATACTGGAGATACATAGTCTAGTCATATTAAAGAAAAGCAGAACACACCAGAGTCTCACATTTATGCATGTTACATGCACCAAAGACTCCAGATCATCAGCATAGACAAATATGGACTTCCAGGATGAATCAGCATCTTTTAGCCAATTGCCCATGCATTGGCCTTGAGTTTCATCAGGCAGAATCGCCATGTCTGGCACTGTAATCCATTCTCTCACAGGATATTATTGGGCAGTGTTCATGTTGTGTAAATCAGTTTGTGCTTATTAGACCCAGAACTGTGTCCCAGCTTTGAATGTCATCTTTGCCTTAGGTCAGACTAAGGGTAATGGGGTCTAGAGAAAGATGCTTCCCTCCTCACACACGTTGAATGCTCACTTTCCATTACAGTTTCTGCTTGGATTCCAGTGCCGAGTCCGGTGCTCATTTCCCAAAGCACTTCCAGCATGACACTGATGAGAAAGACGAAACTGCTGAGCACAGCAGGATTTAAGAGCATGAATATTAGGGATAGATGGGCTGTGTGTGTAGGGAAAGCAAGAGGAGAGGAGTTGCATTTCTGAGAACTCAGCAAAAAAAAAAAATGCATTCATTTCGAAGAATTTTTCTCTAACCATGAGGACTAGAAACCAATGTTTTTTTAAAACGAAGGTGGCAGTCGCTTCCTGCATCTCATAAAATGCCCACACATGGCAAGATGGCTTCAAGTCAAGCCAAAGTCTGTGCTGAGGTCCATGCCTTTTGGAAATCTCCATCGCTGGGAGTGTGTCTGTGTGACTATTGAAATTACTAAGAGATGATGGGTGGAATTCAACATAGCACCTAGTGGGGTTTGCACATGGGGAATGAGGTCAGCTCGTGCAACGGGACTTCTCGCTCCCCCGTGAAGCCCCTAAACCTGTTCTGAGAGTTCCCTTAACCCTCCGGAGCTGAATGCAGGGGGCACAGGGGAGGAGGGGCAGCTGCGGACTTTGGGGTCTCAAATGTCAGCGGTGCCACGTGTGACTCCAAAATGACTCCGCCTCTCACCTTCCATTCGACAGCGGCACCTTGGTTTTAGAACAGCTTAGGTTATGAACAAATTTGGAAACAGAACGCTGCAAACCCAAAAGTAGTTGTTCCAGTTTGTGTACTTTGCCTTGGAAGCTGAACATGTTCCGCTTCCTGTTGAATGTGTTTCGTTTGTAAACTGAGTCCCCAGCTGCTAATCAGAGGCTTCCTGTTGAGTCTGTCGGCTGTTGAGTCCCCAGGACCCATGCAACACAGAGGTGATATTTGGAGCTTTTGTTTTTGCTATTTTTTGCGTTTTTGTTTGTGTGGCTTTTTTGGTTTTTTGACTGTAACTTGTTCTTCGTTTTATGGGACTGACTTGTGGCTTGTGACTTCGTTTTTGTGACTGTGGCTTGTGACTTCATTTTTGTGACTGTGGAACCCAGTTCAGCGATTGATTGATTGATTGATTGATTGTGTGACTGCAGAAATGGATAAAAGCCCCCCATTCAAACAATGACTATCATCAGTGCACATAAGAATTTTTTTTAAATTTTTTTTTAATCATCTACAATATTGTCTTATTTATTTTATAGTACAGTACATTGATTATTGCTTTCATTTTATGGATCAATGGTCTTGTCAGATAGTAAAATTCATGTTAAATTGCTGTTTTAGGGGTTGTTTTTAAAAGTCTGGAACGGATTAATCCAGTTTGCATTACTTTTTATGGGAAAGCACGGCTTGGTTTTAGAACGCTTTGGTTTTGGAACGCACTTCCGGAATGGATTAAGTTTGGGAACCAAGGTACCATTGTACATCATATACAGATAGGTAGCCGTGTTGGTCTGCCATAGTCAAAACAAAAAAAATTCCTTCCAGTAGCACCTTAAAGACCAACTAAGTTAGTTCTTGGTATGAGCTTTCGTGTGCATGCACACTTCTTCAGATACACAGAATCTGTATCTGAAGAAGTGTGCATGCACACGAAAGCTCATACCAAGAACTAACTTAGTTGGTCTTTAAGGTGCTACTGGAAGGAATTTTTTTATTGTACATCATAGTTATGGCGACTACTGTGGCTCCACACACTCCCCATAAACCTGCCTCTGGAGGGGGAAATCCTATTGCGCAAGCAGAGCACATTCTATGCATGCAACAACTTACGGTAGCTGAATCCCACCTTTTACGTATGTGTTTGTGTGTGTGTACACACTTGTTAGAGCATTAATGGTATGTCACATAGTTGTGCTTAAGGAAGCACAACTGAATCTACACATGTGTATAATTTGTTGCATTTAAATGAGGGGTTCTTTCCTGCACAGAGTGCCCACACACACATGCAACAATTGTGTGGAGGACTGTACCACATCCCCTCAGTCCTGAATGTCTGCAACAGCTACATTATTGCTACGCACAGTCCTTTTTAAAGTGTGACCTGTTTTTATTTTCATGCACTTCTCTCCTATCCTTACTGATTGCTTTTCTTTTACAATATTTTTATTTTAAACTGTATGCAAGTCAGAAATATATTTTAAAAATAAAGAAAAGTAAACTGTATGCATGGACAGTTGACAGACATGTGCCACAGATCCCCTGGGAACCACTGGCATAAAGCAAGTCACACAATAATCCCAAAACAAAATCCAGCCAACAGGTTGAAAAGGAGCTTGCCTGATCAGCTTTTGCTCCAATTGGCGTGGAAGCAGGCAGTGTAGTACAGGTACAAAGATGAACCAGCTTGGCCATCATTATGCAGCAACCATTATGGCTGGAAGCTGATGCCCTTCATTGTGTTCCTTGCTCAGGCAAACAAATCAGGTGATTGACTTTCCATGGGTAAATTTTTGCAGTTTTTGCATGCCAGTCAGTGCTCATTCTGCATTTAGAAGGTTGCAGTGGTAGGGAGAACTGCAGTTCTGCTTTAGGTGAGTGAGTCATATGACTATTTCCCCTTATTATAATTGACGTTTCCATAGTGCTTTAGATGGTTCAAAGCACTTCAGAAATACAATAAGCCTGTAAGGTTAGGGTCAGTATCATTAAGACCCTTATTGCAGCATAGAGGCTGCTGAAGCCAAGAGAGATTTGCTCACAATGAGCTCATGGCAGAGGCAGGGTCTTCCTTATTATTCTTTTATTCTTTGTTAAATTTGTATACCACCTTTCATCCAAAGATCATAGGGTGGTTCACAACATAAAAATTAAAAAATGAGAACACAAAATACATAATAAAAACAAAACAAAACTAATAACCCACCTCCCACAAAGACATTTATTAGGTTGTAGAATATAAAATCATCCAAAGGCCTGGTTAGAGAGAAATATATTTGCTTGGTGCCTTAGGATATGGAGCGAAGGCGCCAGGTGAGCTTCCCTGGGAAGAGCATTCCACAGATGGGGAGCCACCACAGAAAAGGCCCGTTCTTGTGTAGGAGGCACACAAAGAAAGGCTTCGGATGATGATTGCAGGGTCATTATTCATAGCTCTCTTTTTTTAGCCACTAAAATGCAGCATGAACATGGCCACCTGGTGTCCTGCTTCTGAGCATGGAGTTAATGTATGTTTCCAGATATTTCCCTAAGTTGTACTGGGGATGCAGCTTGTTTTGAGCAAAAACGCCACATTCACAGTTGCCCAGATTTTGGCATTAATGTAGTCTGCTGTTTGTTTTTTTTAAAATAATTTTTTTATTAATTTTCCAACATAAATAAAAAACAATACAATAGACAATACATAAACACACAAACATATAAACACGTATAATTTCACAACCTCTTTTTCATAAACCTTACTTCCCCGACTTCCCCATACCTCCCCCTTCTGCATCCCTGTTTCAATGTAGTCTGCTGTTTATGGCTAGTGAAATCAGCTTCACCCTAGGCCTGTGTACCTATGAATGCTCTTAAGCATTTACGCAGCCAGGGACAGTGGGCACCATTTGCAGAAGAGTTAGTAAGTGGATATACTTTATGGAAGACAATCTTACTCGGCAGAAGAAGAAGAAGAAGAAGAAGAAGAAGAAGAAGAAGAAGAAGAAGAAGAAATACTTTTTACACCATCAAAGTGTACAAATATGTCCATCAGTGCAAGACATCGTTCACCCGTATGGTGAGAGCACCTACGATAGGCAGGTATTTGCACACAGCCAAATATGTGTGCACACAACCCACACCCATATGCAGATCAGCAGCACTTGCAGCATGCGCTCATGCACACACTGGCACTTAATACAGCACCGCCCCCTCACACCTCCCCCTCCTCTCCCTGCCCTTCCCCGCATTCTCTCCCTCCCTCTGTCTTCCCCTCCATTCCAGTCCTCCTTTCTTCTTCAAAAGAGAAGGCTCACCACAGACCTCCCCCCCTCCACTCTTGGCTCCAGTGGGGGCTCAGAAGGTGCTTCTGCAGCATATACCACCCCCCAGCCTCGCCACCATGACCCCCCTGGGGGATGATGTCTGAGTCCCTGTGGACAGCGCTCTCCAATTTCTCTATGCCCGATTTCCTTGAGAGCAGCATGTTTCGCCGTACAAAAAGGTACAGAGAAAGGAAGCTTAATTTAGTCTGCATCCCTCCATCTTTACCCCCCTTTCTCCGTGGCCCCTCCCCATCAGCATTCTGTCCCCCTCTGCTCCCATTCCTCCATCCTTCCTTCCTTCATCCCTTCATCTCCTATCATTCTTCCTCTCTCCTCTGTCTCCTGTATCTCTTGCTCCACTCCCCCCCCCCCACTTCGCTGGTTTGCAAGGGAGAAGGGGGGGAAAGAGCTTGTGTATTATTATCATCTTCCTTTCTCTCTAACACCCCCCCCCCGCATTGTGGCCAGGCAGCCAGGACTCTCCAAGGAGGTGTCTCCTGGGGAGGGAGGGAGGGGGTTGCAGTGGCTGGCAGGGTTGTGGCGCAGTTGGGGGAGGGGAAAGAAATATTCACAAAGACTAGGATGCCATGGCAACTGCCAAGGACATGAGCTGTATATGAACTGGCAGCACTGCCTATGACAAATGGTTGGTCTGCCTGTCTTTCTAGCTGTCCGTCTCCCTCTGGCTCCATGGATGCCCCCCCCCCCGGTTCTCCAGGGTCACTCAGCCTGGACAAGCTTGTGGCTGCTGGGTGGGCAGATGGAGGGGCTGGGGCTGGGGGTGTGGGTGGGTGGACAGGGCTGGGGACTGTCGGATGCAGCCAGCAAATGGAGATGGATAGGAGGGGGCTGAGCCTTAGTGGATGGAAGGAAGATGCAGAGGGCAAGAGATCTGCGTGTCTGAGTGCACCCCAGAAGGATGGTGTTGTGGGTGTCTATATATATTTGCCGCAGGAAAGTTAGGTGGGAAGGGGATGAATGGGAATAAATGGAAAGATCTGTGGCTGGGCTCTGGCATTCTGTTCTTTTTCCCGAAGATGCTCACGCCTGTGAATTTTTCAAGTGCCTACATGCCTAGCTGCCACTTCTGGCAGCTAGGAATTTTAAATGCATTCTAGCCCTAGGAGCGATTGTGTGAAAAGTGATCTAGATTACACTAATTCCCCACCCCCTTTACCCATCCATCATAGCAGTTGAGTACGGAATGTATAGCAATAACACCCCCATCCTTTGCTTAAATTCTCCCTGCCATTGCCCTCCATTCCCATAATGCCTCAATATACACCACTTCTTTCTCTGTTATTTATCTTTGCGATCTGCTCAGCTGGAGGGCAATGCTTTTATAACTGCATATAACAGAGATACTTAAAGACGTGTCCAGCGTCAGTCAGGTGGGGTTGTGGCAGTTAAGCTACGTCCTCCCTGCTGTCTCAGCTTATCAGATGTGGGTTCTTCCACAAGACTAGCTCATTTTTTGAGTGTGCATGTGTGCAGTTTACATCTGTTCATTTGAACATCAGTAATTGGAGGTGTGAGTTTGCAGTGAAAGAGCTGAGTTGGAGAGAGAGAGAAATACAGGGAAATCACAGACGTGTGTGTGTGTGTGTGTGTGTGTGTGTTTACTTGTTTACATAGGACGTAGAGAGCAGAGTGTGTGCTGTCACTCTGTCATTCTGTGTGGTTGAACAATGGTGTAGGAACTTCAGACCAGAAGCCAGGTGGCTTACTACAATTCCTTGCGCCAAATTGCAGTGCTAGAAGATGCCTTGATGTGTTGCAAGTTTGCAGCGGGCTCTCTCCCAGAACTCAGAATCCCCAGGAGACTTGGACAATATTCCCTATGAAAGAAGGGAGTCTGTTGAGCTGCACAAGAGGGAGATGGTGACAGGTCCTCTGCCCTATTGCTCCACCTATAGGAAAGATGTATTTTCAAACTATCAGGAATAAGCTTATATCCCATACTTGTGGATTAGCTAAAACGGATATTTCTTTCTCACATTTTATCCTGCTCTTTGTCTTGGGAGCTCTGGGCAGCATATACAAGGAGAATCCCATTTTATCTTTAAAAAGCCCTGCAAATGTGGGTTAGGCTGAGAGATCAATAGATAGAGACTGGTTCAAGGTCACCCAGGGAGTCTTATTGTTTTTTAAGGATTCGTCTTTGCAAAGCATTTCCAGAAAATGGATCCCACTGCTTTCGAAATAGTAGATGTGGTTTTGGAAAAGATCTGCTGCTGCCTTGGGTAGAGAAAAGGGGAGCAGCTGAGAGTGCATACTAAGGAACAGCCTAGACATGACCAGGGGTAGCCATGTTTGTTGTTCATATGTCTGCCTCGTTCCTGTACGCTGTGGAATTGAAACGCGTTTTGTCTTCTAACATGGAAAGGGATTCTTGGGTGAGAAGAGACGAGCCCTTTGAGCCTCAACTACCATGTGCTTCATTTCCCCAGGCCCTTTCCCCTCAGCCCAGACTATGGAGCGATGGCTTGCAGGCAGTGTTAGAAACTGAGATGTGAAATGTAGGTGCTAAATGGCACCTTAAACCTAGGTAATGGGCGCAACAACGGAATGTCTAGGCAGGTTTTTTTCATAACAAGAATACAAAGCTGAAAATGAATCAGCTGCAGCTAAAATATTATGTTCATTTTTCAAATGGTCTAATCCTTCCCCTGCCCACCCCCACTAATATTCTTAAGAGGGTCTCTGGTCTTCAGAGTGTAGTTGGAAGTGGGGAGGGAGAAAAGGGTCCTCCTTTCCTTCCACTCTGCAGTTTTAATCCGAAATCTTGGGCGCAGGAGTGCGCCCAGGGCTCAGAAACCGCTAGCGCTAATGAAATTCCCTGTCGTGAAATGCGCCTAGAACAATGGGAGTTTCAAACACAGCTTGCAGGGAGGCTAGGAAGGCTGGGCTTAGCTCTCCTTCCTTGTCTGACTCTTCTAAGGTCAGAAGCTGATCCCACCAATGGCAGTCGCTTTGTATGTGCATGGGGTGACACAAGAAGAAACATGGCTGCCCCTGTTGTGTCTAACATGGCTTTCAAGACTTTTAGGATTAGGAATAGACTTTTATGCTCTTTCCACTTCTTTCCCACAGTCCTCTGGGAGGCAGGTCAAATCTTTCACCCCAAACATCGCACCAGTTCTTGCTAAAAAGCTTATTTCAAGGGTGGGGACCTGTGGTCCTCCAGATAGTTGCTGGACTCTTAACTTCCCTTGCCCCAAACCCAGGCAGGCTGAGGCTGATGGGGTTGGAGGTCAATGACATCTGGAGGGTCCCCCATCGCTGTCTTATACATCATTGTTAATATGGGAGAGCTTTGCTCCTTTCTGTGTGGTAACTCTTGTTCTAAACTGTCATGCAATGAACCTTCATATCTGAAACGTTCTTGTGCATTTCATGAGATGGCGTTGGACTGGGATTGTGGAGACCTGACGTCAAGTACCACCTCTGTTGTAGTTTGGTCTTTGGCAACTGAGTCGCAAACCCAGAGCATTACCCAATCTCACAATTTCCTTTCCAGATGTGCAGGAGAAAGATTTCCCCAAAGGAGGAGGAGTCAGCTCTGTTGCACTTCTGTCTTAGGTGTTCTGCTGTTCATTTGTTTACATATGCCCTGCTTTCTGGAGTAACATCTTACAAGACCAGCTTACAAAATTCAAAAGCAGGAAAAACCTCACATAAATCAGTAAAACCAATAAAATAACACAGTTTAATCACATTACGAGGTCTTCGCTGCGAGATCACATTCACCCGGTGCTATACCAGCTGCACTGGCTCCCGGTGGAGTACAGGATCAGGTTTAAGGTGCTGGTTTTAACCTTTAAAGCCCTATACGGCCTACGACCCTCGTACCCACGGGACCGCCTTTCCCGGTATGTCCCACAGAGGAACTTACGGTCTTCAAAAACATCCTGAAGGTCCCAGGCCACAGAGAGGTTAGGCTGGCCTCAGCTAGAGCCAGGGCTTTTTCGGCTGTGGCTCCGATCTGGTGGAACACTCTGTCACAAGAGACCAGGGCCCTGCGGGACTTGACATCTTTCCGCAGGGCCTGCAAGACAGAGCTGTTCCACCAGGCCTTTGGCCAGGGCACAGCCTGACTCCCTCCCTCGGCAATCTTCGCGGAGCTCTGGCCCAATGGTTGCCAGTGGCTTGAATTAATTAATTTTAGAATGAATTATTTTAGAGTGTTGGTTATGCGGTACTTTTGTACTGTTTTATTGTTGTTAGCCGCCCTGAGCCCGGCTTCGGCTGGGGAGGGCGGGATATAAATAAATTTTATTATTATTATTATTATTATTATTATTATTATTATTATTATTTAAAAGCACAGCTGAAAGGCCTTCTTAAAATTCATGCTCAAAATTTTACTCAAAGTAGGCGCACTGAGATTAATGAACTTGACTAAGTTAGATCCATTAATTTCAAAAGGCCTGCTCTAAGTAAAACTTAATTGAATGCCAGCACATCCAGATTAAAACTAATCATAAAGGCCTTCTTAAATGCAAATGTTATCAAAGCATGCTTAGAGTGACCTGGGTGGGAGGTTTGCCTGTGTTCCATTGCATTAGTGCAGAAAAGATCCTGCCAAATTAGTTCGGGTCCACAGGAGAGCAGAGAGCAGGGTGTGGTATGAAAAGCTCAAAACCTGCATAGGCTCATGTAGCAGATATGATCCTTTAAATACGGATATGGCTTGTAAAAGTAGCCCCAGGTTGGCTGCTTCAGGGATGAGAAGCTGCCCAGAGTGGCTGGGGAAACCCAGCCAGATGGGCGGGGTATAATATTAAAATTATTGTTATTATTATTAGAATGCCCAGGAATTGAGAACCCACTTTCCCCCTGGGTTATGCAGCCAAAAAATGAGGATTGTTCATTCATTCATTCATTCATTCATTCAGGCATTACTTTCAGCTTCAGAGATGTGAGGAGAGGAAAAACAGAAAAATTCAAAGGGAGGGGAATGCTATTTATTTATTTTTAAATGTTAATAATATTGTAATGGTATTTGATACCCGGAACCTTTATTGCCAACGTTGGGAAAATGTGGGGCGTAGTGAAGGGGTTTTTTTTTTTACTCCTGCAATGGAGCCCACTTCTTGGTGTGATGTTGGTGCTTCTTGGACTGCCTATAAGTGTCTGAAAACTAATCTTTGATTGTTATTGTGATATGTGGGAAGAT